ATTAACAGGCTGAAAAGAATGGGACTCAGCGGACACCCTTGCATTAACCCCCTGTCCATCCATACTTTAGACTTTTCGCCTTCATTCCATCTTGTCCCGCTGCTTTGTTTCTCTTCATTCTATCAATTGTCGTATCTACTTCTTCCCTGCTTATCTCTTTCCTCTCTTCTTTATTACCACCCTTCTTTTTTTCCCACTACTCTCTCTTCCACACCCCTACTTATTTCCTTAAAAATTACTGAAACCTCACTTATTTTAACGGTGTTCGGTGGTCTCTAAAATTTTTCGATAATGTGTGACTAACAGTTATCACCCAACAAATACGGCATTGACCGGTGTAAATGACGTGAAATTGGTAAACATTCATTTTCTAACAAATTTCCCTCTGTTCAAAGGCACTTTTTTACAAAATTTGACAACGTACATTTGACAAATCACAAATGTTTTTAATTGTCTGAATTCAAAAGATTTTGTCAATCCATAGAAACGCGGTTGCAGCATTGGAATTACCATAGCAATGTAATGAGAATCATTTGGACAGTTGAGCCTTTACGCTTCCTGCATAGTTCTGCCCTCTACTAGCGAAATGGCTGTAACATACGTCTTTCCGCCTGTCATTACATTACTTTTGTATTTCCAATCCTACAACCGCGTTTCTGCATGAATTAACAAAATCTTTTGAATTCAGACAATTAAAAACATTTGTGACAAATGTACGTTGTCAGATTTTGTAAAAAGTGCCTGTGTGCAGAGAAAAACTAGTTCGAAAACGGTTGTTTACTAATTTCACGTCATTTCAAACAGGCAGTACCGTTTTTTGGGCGATAACTGTAAGTCGCACATAACCTACAAATTTCAGAGACCATCGAACGTTCTTAAGTATCGTTTACTTAACCCTCTGCCTACGCTGACTTATCCCTACTTTAGCACTTTTAAATGTGATTCCCATAGTCCCCATCAGGCGACCGAATTGTCGTTTTTTGTCGATAACGGTCACTTGAGAAGACAAAGGGTTAAAGTCGCGTTTATCTGAACCCATTATCGCTTCAGTTACTTTCAGTTAGGATCTGCCCTAACCCCACTTGTATTAGCTCATGCGCAGTACGCGACAAAACAAAAGATACATTGAGTTCAAATAAAACCAGCTAATCATGTCAATTTATCGAATTACGTCACCAACATAAGTTTAGCCTACCAAAGTACAAATAAACGCGACACTTCGTGTCGAATTGCGTGGGGCCATTTTCAAATAAGTACTTTGTACATTCTTTTATTCCTATATTCCTGTCCACTGGCCCCTCTTCTTTCTGTCCCTATTTATTATTTCCCATTCCCTTTCCTCCCTAACGGCATTTTTAACTTCTTTCATAAATAAATGTTTTATAAATAAATTTTTTTCCATAAATGAATTTTTCATTTTTTTAATGTTGTTTGTCTCTCATCTTTTACGAGGATATGACATTATTTATTTATTTAAACTCGTTTTGAACCCAAAGGTTTATACAAGTGGAGTCTCATAACAGAGAGTCTAAGAATATTTACAACGAGTACAGAGTTAATGAAAATTACAAAGTTCTACTGATACGCTCTCGCAAAATTTTAACTATCAATTGTACAAATCTTTTTATTATATTAACGTTTTCTGAAGACATAATATTGAGCCAAGCTTGAAAACAATCTGCACCATTCATCACTTCCGGAAAATAAGATTTACATATATGCACACATGCAGGACAATCAATTAACAAATGAAACAGAGAGTCATAATCTGTTTTACAAAACGCACAAACAAAATTCTTTTTAAAGCAGTACACAAAATTATCAGCTATAATTCGACAAACATACTTATTGAGCAATCTGATCTGGGCAATAGTTCTCCTAAGTGCTAAAGAGGATCTACATTTTAAATATGATTGTGCAACTGGTTGAAGGGTAAGAGAAGAATAAAAACAAAGACTACTTGACGAAGAGCACCGCGCCTCATCCAAGGATCGAAGGGAAGGTCCAAATCTCTCTAGGATTAAACTGATAGAATGCTCGATAGAGTCCAGGGAAATGTCCGACCACAAATCAATTATATTATACTCCACAAAAAACCCTAACTGCGCGAACCAATTAAAACCGTTCGAGGGGTCGCTCAACGCCAAGCTCCTAAGCCTCTCAAAACACTGCCTGGGATATCTGTGAGATTGCATTTTCGAAATTTTTTTAATCCAGTTCAGCGTCAATGAGAGGACTCCATGAGCCAGGTGCAGAGAACCCGTCTCTAGTCGAACTGCATAATCTGATGTGTTTAATGGCAGAAGCAAAAGCTTCTTATAAAACAACACTTGTATACGTGTTCCAAGAGTAAGCACCTAGAGAGAAAATAGACCTTAATATCCCACCGATCGCCGGGCGCGCACCACTCGTCGCCACAGCCACCTGGTGCGCAAATGAGCCTGAATTTGAAAAAATAACTCCTAAATAATTATACTCCTTCACCACCTCGATAACCTCCTCTCCATACTTAAAAGAACTAAACTTTTTCGCCACTGACCCCCCAGACTTCGTAAAATTCACTACTTTCGTCTTATTAGTATTAACAATCAACTCATTTTCCATACAATAAGATCGAAGCGCTTCTAAATTTATGTAAAATAAATCTATTCAATCACAAATTGTAAATATATATTTTCAAAACATTTGGTTGGACATATTGTTTATAAATTAAGTTATATATTATTATTTTTACATACACTACCGTCCAAAAGTATCAGGACGATTACATTCGACTCTATGAAAAAACATGACTTTGTTTTTTCAATTACTTTTTCAATCATATCTCGGAAATAAAAGGAGGTACAAAAAAAACTTAAATACGGTTAGAGAAAGCTGATTAAATTCTGCGTAAAATAAGCCATCTTTGAAGTCATTTCGTTAATTATTTGTTAAGTTGTAGAGTTTGAAAGAAATAAAAAAAATTATCAAATTTTCTCATTTTTGTCTCATGAGTAGCGTTGTACGTCCAAATTAAGATCAAATTTGACGTTTTTCCCAACCTCAGGTCAAACAGAGATCCCTTTATGCTCTTTTAGAAGTTGTGTGTAAAACCTCTGTTTCTTTTTCCCTGGAAACATGTGTTTACAATGTGATTCTGTGTTACATTTTTGGATTCTTTTTCTTGTTTAATTGATAATGTCTCAAAGACTGACCTAAATTGTATCGACTTTGCAACTCATATATGGTTTATATAAACTTTGCAGTCTTTAATGCAGGTGTGAAGTTTTTCTTTTTTAAGTGAATATTTTTCATTTTGACTGTACTTTATCGTACCCAAATTATGTTTTGTTTGGCGGTACATCAAGGTCTTTATCATGAATCAAGAAAGCACAACACAAACTGTCGTGAACGATTCTATTTCCCTGTGTGTGCCTCGTGCGAGTACTGCTTCGGGCGAACAAGATAGTATGAGTGGGCTCAAATATGTACTGAGTGTAAAACTCGCGTAGTGAAAAAGTGCACGTATTGTGCAGTTTGTAATGCTTCATACCATGACCCTTAGAGGGTGTCTAAAAAAGTGTTGTGTTCCCCCATCACCCACCTCAGTTTCCCCTGCCCTTAATGACATAGAAGCGGTTTTCAAGGAACAAATTGACATTCTTCAGACATCTATGAGTAGTGAGTTTGCGGAAGTTAAAAAATCTATTGCTAATTTATCTGCCAATATTGACAAGAACAGCTCATGCATCACAGAGTGTGAATCTCTGATAACTGATATGGGTCAACGGGTTAAGGAACTCGAGGTCGAGGTTGCCGAGGTAAACAAAATTAACCACACAACTGATTTCTCTGCATGTCTAAGTGAGATGGAGGACCGTATGAATATGTAGGTCGAAAAATGTGATTAACTTTGGTGTTGAAGAGAATGATGCCTTGGTATCTAACGTCGAAAACAAGGACAAAGACTTCATCACTCGCCCAAATATAAATAAAAGATAAAAAAAATTGATTTTTAAACTTACCTATAAAATGCCAATAAACACCATATTTTAATCATATGTTTCTAAAAAGTTTGTAAATATTAAAAAATGTATTACTACTTAATATAAAGTACTTTTAATGAACTTTCATATTTTGGGCTTACTTTATAATTTTATAATACGGAAATGTAAAAACTTCCACATTTTATATTGAGTCTTTTATGATTTTCGGTGATTTTAATCACTTATATTTCTTCAAGTGCGAAACGAAAAAAAAAATTTTGGTCTTTATATTTAAGTTGAACCTTTTTTTCCATACTGTCAAATTTTGGTGATTGAGAATGAGTTACTTTTCAGTTTTATTCTGGTTTAAAAAATCTCCTTCCAAACACTTTAAGTGTTAAAATGCAAGCAGTAGATTTTTGCAAGAATGTTGAGACAGCCAACTTCAGTGCTATTCAGTATAAGTTTTTACATTTCTGTATTATAAAATTAAAAACTGCACGTAATATGGAAGTACATTAAAAGTATTTAATATTAAGTACACTGCAAAAATTTAGTGACTACAAAGTTACTTCTTTTTGCTTAGGCAAAACGCCTAAGCAGGATAAAAAGGGAAGCTGTCGCAAGCATGAGATAAAAAAGATAGACGAAATTTCTGTCCTTTTTTATCTCATGCTGGCGACAGCTTACCTTTTTATCCTGCTTAGGCCTAACATTCATTTTCATAAAGAAAATCAGAGTGACCAAAGTCATTGAAAAAGCGAGATTAAGTTGCGTTTTTGTAGATTGCATTCTTTGCATTGCTTTTCGAATAACCTGCTTGTATGTAGTCATTGCATGTTGAAATACAAGTAATTTAAAAAATGTTTAAACTCTCATAAATTGTCGGAGGAAAAACGAACCGGTAAATTACCGCAATCTTCTTTCTCTCCTCGACGTAATTTACCGTCTTTAGAACACTAATGGATTGATCCAATAAAATGATAGTTATATTGAAAGTTACTTTATCCTTTTTTGAAACGAGTGATAACTTACCGTGACATTCCTTATCACTGTCAATATAAGGTGGAGGTTTAACTTTTGGTGGTTCTGCATTTGGTGATTCAACAAAAGCATAGTAACCTTCCGGTGGTTCATCTTCCTGAACAATTGTGTTCAGTGCGGGTGATTTTGAACCTTTTTCCTTTTCTGTATTCTCAGCTCCATATGTAAAGCCACACAGGACTATCATCTGTAAACAAAATTCAATTGTTTCTCTTGTATTTTAACTTTTTTTGGCTTAAGTAGAAAATATACAGTCAAATCAAAAGTTTTTTTATAGGATTATCCTTATTTAGAAACGAGTAGATATGCAAATTAGGTAAAGTAAGACACTTTTATGAATTTTGTTTTGGAAAGAGAAAGAAATTATGGTTAAATTTGAAGAGAGATAGTCTTTTGTCAGTTTTATTGTGAAGACGAAGTAAAGAACAGTAAGGTTTTCAGACAAAGATATTCTTATGCCAATTGTAATTATGTAGAAAAAGGTAAACAATTTTAAACGAAAAAGTTCTTATGTTATTCTTCCTTGATAGAGGGAGAAAAGACTAGCGTTAAATCGTTAGTTCTATTCCAAAATTATTACCTGAATCAAACATACAAACCTGAGGGTTAGTATTGTCATATTGTATACTTTGATTATACAGGATATAAATACCGTAAACTGGGGCTATTAGGAACAAAATTCTGTTTTCGGGTGGAGTTGATGCTATTATTGGCGCCGTTTATCGATAAATTGTGTTAATTGCTTTTGAAAAATTGTTGCTGTGGTAACTGGCAATACTTTTCAATGCAATAATTGTGACTATTAATTATTTTGTAAACAATAGTCGCTTGTAAGTGACTTAATCTGTTTTAGAAAAGTTTCAAACGTGGAAAACATTTGATTGCTGAGGTTAGTTGTTTCATTTTTAACTTCTCAAAGTGATTGTTTTTTATTAATGGCATTTCTTATGGGAAACTTTATTGAGTTCACTAAGTAATAAATATGTTTATTTTGTATTAACAGTAAGATTTTAGAAACAAAAACCAAAATTTACAAACGGCGGGTATATAAGGAACACAATTGTGTTCGGAATAAATAATTATTCCGAATTGCTAAAGCGTGTTGTCAAAACGTATTTTTTCGTAATTTCTTTTGTTTTTTATCACCTAATTTGGTTTTAGTGTTCAAAGATGATTCAAAATTGTAAAAGAGTGTTAGGACCGTCAAGTCGCAAAAAACGACCAGTGATTCCATCATAAACCACAACTAATGATACCAGCAACGTTTAAAACACGCATTCGCTCTTTTAGTTTTGTTTTTACATTTGTTTTGTATTATGTATTTACTTTCGAGTAATAAAAAATAACTTTTTTAACTTTAAATACGTTTTCCAATGGTTTTACCGTCTTTTTCCTAATAGCCCCATTTTGTAATTTCAAAAAATGCGTCTCTTTCGTCTTTTTTGCTTAAAATTCCAGCTTTGATCAAGACAATTAATTAACCCTTCAAAGTGCTCGCCAAGATGAAGAAAAGAAACAAAAAATTAAGGCAATATTTCAATACACAAAAAAGTTGCAAGACTTTAAAGTTGAAATCTGTTCGTAATAGCCCCAATTTACGGTATATGGATGATTCTCCGCGTAGCGCACAATTTAATGTCCCTCATGTTTTTTAAGAAATCAGTTTCATATATTCTAATAAATTCAACGTCGACAACTTATTTCCATGATAACAAATAAAAGTCTATAGTCGTTTTCATTTAAAAAATTATAATTTTACTGAAAAATCGGTTTTAAGGTGCCAAAACGTCATGGTGTAATCAGTCCCCACTGCCATTTCATATATAAAATGTTATTTTTTTAGTAAAATATAATAATAAATATAATGAATATTGACATTTTCTTATTGTCTAAATTAGTAGAATTGAGAAAAACAAAACACTTATGGGAAAAAAATTTATTGTTTAATATTTTTGTAGATATTTCTTGTCTCCCGTTTTCGCGTCATGGTATCATCACTTTGTAAAATTGCCTAATTTACATAAAAAATCAAATCGAAAAATTACTTAACATTAATAAAAAGCATTAATAAACTCTCCTAAGTAAATTACTAAAAAAGAAATTAATAAAAAAATTTATTTTTCTGTTTTATATGTGTTACAAGCATGAAAGTTGCATAGGGAATCACAGAATCGTCATTGTCGAATCATAATATATTTGCAATAAAATTAATAATTATTTATATTTTACCTCAAAACAAGTTTAATAGTATAAAGTAAGTGAAAACAAAAGACGTGGAAAAAAAGAATTTTTAAAATCGATAATAATTTGCTTAAAAAATTAGATTTTCTTGTGCGTCATGGTCGAATCAGAGCGTCATGGTGTAATTAATTTTACATGGGTGTTTATTGTAAAACAGAAAATTATAATTATTTTGTCTGTCCCACCACGAATATTTCGTTCTTGAATATTGAACTTTAAAATTCTATATCGACTTTTACTTAATTTGAAAAAAAAATATTTCAAAAATAGTAAAATCCAAATTGTGTGCTACGCGGAGAATCACCCACACTGTACAAAATTTTTGGGGTAATTTTACCAAAAATGTTTTGGAAGTAATTTACACCAAGAATTTGTGGGTAAAAATACACAAGATTTTTGGAAGTTTTACCCAAAATTTCTTGAAAAAATTCCTATTAAGTTTTAGGTAAAAATGCACAACAGTTTTAGTGATTTTACCCAAACATTTTGGAAGAAATACCTAAAAGGTTTTGGGTAAAAATACAAACATTTTGGTATCTTTTATAAAAGTTTTGGAAAAAATACCAAAAAATTTTTAGGTAAAATTACACAAGCTTTTGTACTTTTGACCAAGTTATGTGCAGAAATACCCATGAAATTTTTGGAGAAATTCAAGACTTGTGATAATTATTTATCTAAACATTTAAAGAAAATACGTAAGTGATGAAATGGAATACAGTAGAGACTCCATATTATCCGGACCCCTATTATCCGGATATTCGATTATCCGCACAAATTTAAAATTAAAAATTTTTTTTTAATATAAAGTTTATAAGGTCTGAAGCCGTTAACTTCTATTTTAAATTTCTCCCCGCCAACAAACACGAAATATTGCATTTTAAAGTGTTTTAATTATTTTAAGAAAATGTTTCTGTAAATATTTTTAAATATTTCTAACTAAATATTTATTAATGTTGACTTTAAAAGTTTTAGTTTGTTTCAGTCTTATTTTAATACATATGCAAATAAATACATAAAATTATGAATCAAAAATTTGTTTAATTCGTACTTTACTCGATTATCCGAACAAGTGCCTGCATCCATTAGTCCGGATAATGGAGTCTCTACTGTAGTTAATTTTTCATCCGCAACTTAAAAAAATTCGCTAATATAATTTTAAACAATAATTGCAGATTATAGTGATTCTTTTTATTCCATATAAAATATGTTTTAATACAAAACTATTTTACAAAATATTTTTCACATACAATAATAAACACTTGTGAAAAACAATAATAAAATAGTATGAATATTATATTAGATTAATAATTATCAACACTTATTATTAATCTAGTTACAACAAGAAATTAACAATCGTCGAAATAACAGATAATACAAACAAGCAGATTAATTAATTAAAAAATTCACTATTATTCACTATTTATAAAATATAACATCACACATACATTTACTTTCAATTAAAAACCACATTTTTTATTAAAAACACTGTAAAAACAAGAAAACCTTCACGCGCGGATGTAGCTTCTCTAGTAAATGCTGCAGAGCAACTGACGCCAAAAAGGACCGTTTGACAAACATTTCTAAGAAATTCGAAAAATTTCACAAACTTTTCCTCTAAATAAAACTATAATAAAAAAACCGGTATTTGAAAGATCATAAAATAGGATCTTTTACCAGGCGAACCCCGATTAGCTGGCCATCTTAAGATGAACCAGATGTGACAAAACCTTGAAAATTTTCACAAGAGTTTACCCAAGCTTTAGGAAAATTCTCCAATTTAATTAGGTAATATTTCACAAATTTTGTAGAATTCCCAACATCTTTGGGTAAAATGACTTTACCCACAAAATTTGGAAATTTTCCCAAGAGTTTACCCAAGTTTGAGGAAAATTTTCCAATTTATTTAGGCAATATTTCACAATTTTGGTAGAATTACCAAAAGTTTTGGGTAAAACGACTTTACCCAAAATTATAAGAGAAATTACCTAAGAAATGTTAGGAAAATTTACCAATATTTTTTACAGTGCATATATATAAAGGTCAAAGGTAAAATTGTAAAAGGACAAGTTAAATAATAATACAAAGATATCAAATAAAAGAATAAATAAACAAATATATAAAAGGGGCATTCTTTGTCAAATCAGCCACCCCATCTGCCCATTTTATTTTTGAGTTAAAAGTACTTTATCATACATCAAGATTTTCGTTATGAAGTCTAGTTTTTGATAACGTATAGTGTTTTGCAAATATCTTCTAACATAACCTCAGAATGACGATTCTATCAGAAAACAACAAAAAAATAGACATTTTTTCTGCAAAAATTTCTGTAAAAAAAGAAAAAAAATATTTTCTTTACCAGGATATATTCTGTTAAGGGTTTTTGGGGTCGCTGATTGCGAATCTGATGTCCGATTTTCAAAATTTTTATAATTCAAAATGGCGGACACAAGATGGCAAACGACTTTTCTAAAAATCGATCCAATTGGCCTAAAAATTGTTACACGGGGGTTTTCTGGGTCGCTGATTACGAATACAATGTCAGTTTTTAAAATTTCAATATGGCGGATCCAAAATGGTGGACGAATTTTTTAAAAATTGATTTATTTGGTCTGAAACTTGTTACTCGAGGGTTTTTGGGGTCGCTGAATACGAATACAATGTCAGCTTTTAAAAATTTTGAAATGGCGGATGCAAAATGGCGGACGAATTTTGAAAAATTGACCCGTTTTGCCTGGAACTTGTTTATTGGGGGTTTTTGGGGTCGCTGATTACGAATGCAATGTCGATTTTTAAAATGTTCAAATGGCGGATCTGAAATGGCCAAAGAATTCTTAAAAAATTAATTCATTTGGCCTGAAACTTGTTACTCGGGGGGTTTCGGGCTCGCTGGTAACGAATATGATTATTTTTTTTAAATCATAAGCAGTCGAGGTAAGACTATGTCAT